ACGCTTGGAAATATGAGATTCACCTAAAAGCAAGTTCATTCAACATAAAGCTCTCTACACAAGACCACATCAGCCATCTTTTTTCACTCCCATTTCTGGATCAGCTTACCTTAATCGGTCGCGTAGCATTAGGATATTTGCAACGAAGTCTAAGTAGTGATATTGCTACCACAGTGATAGCAGCCCAAGCCGTCACCTGACTTGTAGTCATAAGAACATAGATGTCGCTGGACAAAAACAGATAGCAGATTGATAAAATGCACTAAAGACGCTTCTAATCATGCTGATTGAAGCAGCAACTCTAATTATGGCGTACTGTTAAAGCTACTGCTGGTATTGGTGTGCGTAATTTTTTGTTTATCATAGTCAGTAAGGTAGGCATTTGACCTTCACGGGCACCACAATAAAACAGTCTGAAGAGAACTTCCGAATTAGATATCATGTGACAAAGGTTAAGAAAAGGGACCTAGAACTTGTCATAATGTTTCCGTTCGCCGAACCAGCACAAGAAAGAGCGACACAAAGAGTTAATATGTTCGCATATTTTCCGTATACTTTCTCAGCAAACAGCTAAAATATTTTATATATTTGACTTTACTGTGACTGTGAAAACATCACAGCGATGAATATTGTGGACGACTAGAAGACTTTGAAGCAAACAAAAAGGCTTCAGCGAAAAGGATGGATTACATAATGGGTCAAAACACTAACGCCTCGTTGCCCCATGCAACGCCTTTCTTTTTAATGTATTACTTTTAACTAGTTTTGTAATTTCAAGATATAGATAAATTGTCCCTTGGAATAAAGCGGTTCAAAAAGTTCTCACGTCGTGTTTCTAAACACTGATACTAACAATAAGTAAATTCGAAAAATTTTTAGTCACGCAATCACTCAGTCATTATAGTCGGCAAAGTAGGCATCTAACAATTGCGAAAATTAATAGCTCAAAGACGACTTCCTTAGCTGTATTATAAAAAAGGTCAATAAAAAGGATTTGAAACCTTCCCATAATGTTTCATTAGTGCCAACACAAAACAAGCCGACAACGAGCCGAGCGACAGCCAGTAATATATGGGAAAAAGAACATTTTCTTATTCACTTACTACTCCTACAGCAGGACTGGATAACACTTCGTCAGGCGATACAACAACATATAAGGCGATATTGAAAAGTGTATAGGTAAAAGTAACAATAATACATGAGAATAAAACAGCAAGTGGTAGATTTCTGAATAGCTGGTGATTTTTACTATATAATATCTTGACTCTTATTGAATAAGGATAATATGGCGAATAATTTGCTTGGAAATTTCATTATTGATCGTACTAACGCAATTTTCATAATCTTGCTGTATTCATATGATAACCCTGTTAAGAAGGACGTGAAAGCAACAGAGGCAGGGCAGTTACATTGAATTGTCGTTCATTTGTGTTACAGCACTCGTTCTGCTTCAAAAGATTTCTCCCCTTCATTTTTAAATCGCCTACCGACAGAACCTTCTAAGCGCAAGATCAAGTCTGCGTGGAAATGAGGTCATTATTCCATAACAAAGCTAGTACTTTTTGTTTACTTCCCGCCTCAGCGAACACAGAAAACCTCTGAATAACTTAAGTTCCGATGCTAGTAATGCACTTTTGGAAATCTTTTCGCTATGGTAACGATAATGCAGTACAGTGTTAATCATGAAATATGCATACCTTGTAGGATTAATAAGCTCTTCGGTGATGTAGTTTAAATAACTCCATCCTTGATATGCGAACAAACATGAATAAAAACCAACCGAAGCTTGATATATGCTCCGAAAATTTCCCTCGAAAATGTTTTCAAATGATTCTTTATATTGCGGTCCACCTAAAATATACGTGGTTCATGTAAGCAGCTGCAAATGATTCAAAAACGGAGCATGAAGAGGTTCAAGTTTTAAGAGTGGTACACTGCTATTCTTTTCCACTATCAATATTCCCAGTCTCTACCACGATGTTCATAGAGAATCAGAAAGCTGGAGTTGAATGATATATTTAAAGACATTATTAATTTGGTCTTGTGTTCGAAGTTATGCATGGCGAGCATTGTCTCGCCTCTAGGTGCGGTGTCCCAAACCCCTTTGCTTAAAAACACTATCTCTCTATACTCAAGTATTATCGACGGCACGTAAATTTAAACTTCTGTTCTTTACAACTTTTATATTCGTAGAACTGCTAGGCTAAACAATAAGCTATTTTGAATTCAATGAGATGCGAAAGAGCAACCAGTTATAAGATGAATTACTACTGGAGATGAAGTTACGTGCTGATTTCGTCTTAATTCTATGCTGTCTATTTGCTTCGTGTTAACAATGTATACTTATTTTTCACTTTGGCGCATCTTGTACCGCACTTAATGGATTGGGACATATATGTTCATTAATTAGTAAAGAGTTGTAATATTTTACCAGTAAAGAAGTAGTATGCAGCGGTTACCATGCATAACATTATTGCGATCAATTTCGCATATGTGAGGTAGTCCTGAACAGTTGTTGCGACTTTCACGGACCAGCAGTTTATCGCTCCAATAACTGCTGAAAATCTTCCATTGTGATTTTAACGAAATAAAGATGGAGACATAAAGTGGGTATTAGTATTTACTCAGCAATACGAACATATTAAGAGAGCTGCTAAGAGGTCAGTGACGAGAATTGGTGGATCACAAGTGGGATATATTGGTCGCAACACATAGGCAGCGAAAGAAAGTCCCACAATTGTGAGGGTGCATGGCCTAAAAAAGTTATAGTCTCGAAGTTGTTATATTCACTCATACATTAAGGCTTGGACTCAACCCTACCCAAAATTCTCCACTGCTAAAATCACAGATTAGAAAAGATCTATCAACTATTACCTAACAACGATACTTTCAATCCAGAGACGAATAAAAGCGAGGAATGGGCCGAAAGCTTCCATAATGTATACATATTCACCGCCAGACTTTGTAATCATGGTTCCAAGTTCCGCATACACATAAGAGCCAAGGCCGCACCATAATCCACATACAAGCCAAACAATTAATGAGGAGCCAACGGAACCAACAGCTGGAATAAGAGTACTTTAAATCGTACACTCCTTAGAGCTGCTATTTTAAGGTTAACTTTTCTAGACCTTCTTTGATTCTCTGCTCTGTTGCTCACGTCTTATACAAGTTCTCTATACGATGTTCCAACAAACCTTCTTGAATGCCCGTCAGTGAAACGAAAATGCCAGATCCGATGGTGCAGCCAACAATTATTGTAACTCCATTTGTCAAAGTAAGCGATCTTCTGAGACCTTTTTCACTCTGAAAAACTTGTCCTATGGAGTCATTCTTTGAGCTGATATATTGTGTTGACACCAATCCTCCAAGCTGTACTCCTGGTAATAAAGCTGTTAATACTTTACTATTTTACATTTCAACT